CAGTGCCACACCAGGTGTCTTTTTTTCATGGACACCCCTTCAGGGACAACCCCCCACCTCATGGCTGCTGGACCTGTGGGATGCGGCACCGAGCCCTGAAAAGGCTGTGGAGCAGTTTTGCTCAAAGGCTAGTGAGAACACTCTATTTATGGAGGCTATTTAAAAAATATATATTATGTTGAGAAGAAAACAAAAATCATCACCCCAAACCATTCCAGAAATCAGATGTGAATCTACTAAGCATGACATGAGTACATGGTGGGTCAGATCTTTAGACTGTGCATCCCTGACAAACGTGTGGCTCGCAGCTTTGCCTCAGCAGCTACTTGCTTCTGCAGGGTGTGCTAAGAGAAACACCCCCACCTAGTGGCCACAAGATGCCGGCACAGTGTGAAGCCAAGCTGTTCTTTATAATGTAGAAAAGGGAGAACCCACTGGGGCAGGTTCCAGGTGACCTGTCCACTTTGCTGGGAAGAACCTTAAGAGAACACACAGAGCATAGTAGAGGCTTTGAAAAGTGCTGCAGAAAAGTGAGCTAGTTAACTCTCAATGGAGTCCTGGTGGCTCTGCAGGATAAGCACTGGACTGTTAACCACAAGATCGGTGGTTCAAACGTACACAGCTGCTCCTCAGACACCTCAGACAGGGTCACTATGAGCCGGAACCATCTTGGTGGCAGTACTTAAAAACAACAATCCAGTGTTATTCAAACTTTTCTGACCCTGGAATATCTTCTCATTCGGTTTTACGTGGGCTTTGCCCAACTCTGCCTTAACTGTCAGTCACTTACATATACAAAAGTTCTGAAGGGCTGCGACCCAAGATGGGCAACTTCTGATGAGTGATGAGAAAGAGGAAGAGATATGGAGTATACTTTTGAAGAGGGATATCAAGACACAAAATAGGCTCAAGGGCACCTAAAAACAGCACCTTCATGAGATGAGAATAGAGGGCCTAGGTACTGGGCTGCTGAGGTTTGAGGTGAAGGAAGATGCCTAAAAGCAAATCCCAATGAGAGGTTAGGGGAACACCTACGTCAAACCTTAAGGTTCTCGTTGGCATCTGAAGTGGCTGTGAGTTAGAAGATGTGGGGGGCTTCTTGGTTGGGTTAGAGGCTCCCAGCTGTATCGGGTAGTCTGAACATCCCTGATAGCAGGCCAAAGACTCGGTGGGAGATCGATGTTCACACTCAGTCTGGGAAAAGGTTCTCCTTCCAACTAGCCCATGGTGGCCTCCAGCCTTACAGGGCATAGCCAATGGAACTGTTCCAGATGCGCCCGGATTTCTGGCCCGGGACCTCCTTTGCCACCAAGAGGTAAGAAGATGGAAACAGCAGTCTTCCAGGCTAGGGCCCTGCTGGATCCTCCTGTCACAAGCTCTGACTTAGCTAGAGAAAACAAGACTTCTGAGGATCTAGAAAACAAAGTTTCTGATAGAGAAGGCACCTGGGTATGCACTGAATGCTGCCTCCTGCTGATATTTTTAAGACACTTTACCAATGCAAATGGATGGGTTGGACTTCTGTGGGGACTAAATACTAGGAGCATGTTCTTGCTTTAGAATCATGATCTTTAATTATCTGAACCTAAGGAACGCCTTTCACCACTCATCAAATTCATGGGAATTTGTCGTACTGTGGTGGCTTGTGAGTTGCTGTGATTCTGGAAGCTATACCACAGTTATTGTAAATACCAGCAGGGTCACCCACAGTGGACAGGTTTCAGATGAGCTTCCAGATGAAGACATACTAGAAAGAAGGAGAGATGAACTACTTCTGAACATTTAGTTACAGAAAACCTTATGAGTAGCAGAGAAACACGGTCAGATAACAGTGCTGGGAAATGAGCCCCTCAGGATGGAAGGCGCTCAAAATGCGACTGGGGAAGAGATGCCTCCTCAAAGTAGAGGCAACTGTGATGAAGCAAATGGAGTAAAGCCCAAGGGACCTTCATCTGCTGATGGGACACAATTCAAAATGAAGAGAAACAGCTATAAACATCCATTAATATGTAATATACAAAGTATGAATCTAAGAAAATTGGAAATTGTCAAAAATGAAATGGAATGTATAAATCCTAGGCATTGTTGTTGTTGTTAGGTGCCATTTAATCAGTACCGACTCATAGTGATCCTATGTAGAACAGAATGAAACACTGCCTAACCTCACACAATTGTTGCCACAATTGAGTCCATTGATGCTGCCACTTTGCCAATCTATCTCATTGGAGGTCTTTCTTGATTTCTCTGATCCTCCACCTTACCAAACATGTTCTCCAGTGACCAGACCCTTCTGAGAATATGTCTGAAGTATGAGAGATAAAGTTTGGCCATCCTGGCCTCCAAGGAGCACTCTGGCTGCACTTCTTCCAACACAGATCTACTGGTTCTTTTGGCAGCCCATGGCACTTTCAATATTTTCTTCCAACACCATAACCCAAATGCATCAATTCTTCTATGGTCTTCCTTATTCACCGTCCAGCTTTCACATGCATATGAGGTTATTGAATATACCATGGCTGGGTCAGGCTCACCTTAATCCTCAAGCTGACATCTTTGCTCTTCAACACTTTAAAAAAGGTCTTGTGCAGCAGATTTGCCTAATGTAATACGTCGTCTGATTTCTTGACTGCTGCTTCCTTGAGTGTTGATGGTTGATGCAAGAAGAAAGAAGTCCTTGACAACATCAATCTTTTTTCTGTTTATAAGGAAGTTGTTTATTGGCCCAGTGGTGAGATTTTTGTTTTCTTTACATTAAGACATAATCCATACCGAAGGTTGTGTTCTTTGATCTTCATCAGTAAGTATTTTAAGTCCTCTTCACTTTCAGCAAGCAAGATTGTATCATCTGCATATCACAGGTTGTTACTGAGTCTTCCTCCAATCCTGATGCCACGTTTTTCTTCATAGAACCCAGCTTCTCAGATTATTTGCTCAGCATACAGGTTGATGAAAGAATACAGCCCTGTCGTACACCTTTCTTAATTTTAAACCATT